TCCAAACCCTAACATTCTGTGATTCTGCAATTTACATAAATGTGATGAAACCAACAGAAAGGAAAAGTCAGATTTAAATAAAAGATTGAAATGTCAATATTAACAGAAAAAATCCCACCAAGTAAAACTCTACCAACAAGATGAGTTCTAAGGACTCTACAAATAAAGTGCATCATAGAAGTCTAAGAATAAGACACATTTTCTACAATGTAGTATTTAAATACATTATTATTCTCTCAGATCTTAAAAAACAGGTCTGCAAATCTCTATGATTTTCCATTCTCAAAGGTATATCAATGTAGCAGTTTGGAGCATTAGAAATGCATTGATTAAAGTACCATTTTTATTACAAGATAATTAAAATTTGATTCCAGCAATAGACCAAAACAGCAGAATGAAGAAATGAAGAAATAAAAGTATGCAGGTAGGCACAGTGAAAAAAAAAAAACCTTCAATGGTTAACACTGGGTTTCTTTATTAATCTCACGGCTTCTTTGACGGCACTGGGCTCTTCTCCTTCCATTTAGCAGCCTTCTCCTTTTTCAGCTGTAACAAAGAAAGGCACCAACAGCGGTGACCCTCAGTTCACAACTCGATTAGCAATTCACTGTTAAATCTCAACACCCAGCCACAAATTTACCAGGCTGATGTATGCAGTGGAGAGAGCTACAGAGCATTACTAGCCTAGCCTAGCACCACTTACTTCTGCATCACAGGACAGCTCCTTCCCTATTCAAGCCAGGGCTGCCTTTATCTCGGACAATGGCACTCTGGGTATTTATATATCCCTCAAGGCCACAGTGCCTCACAAATATTCACAGGTTTATCTTCATGTCAATGAAAGATAAAGAGGTTTTATTACAGACACATAACAGACACAGACCAACCGGCATGCACAAAATCACACGGGAGTTTTGTTGCTGAAGTAGATGCTAAGCCTCCATCTCAGTGTCTCCTCACTGACCCACAGTCAGGTCTTCCTCTTAGGAGATTTTTTTCTACACAGTAGGCTCTTACAGCACGGTATGATTTATCAACACATACACATTTAACTCTGCCATTTTGTAGTAAGACTATCAATACAAACAAACCTATCTGTTGTTTTTAGAGGCAACAGTTGCTCTCAAGTGTTGCTACATTAGTGAATGAAATTCTACTTAGAACAGTAATATAAAAGGAATGCACAGATTTTTCCATCTCCTCTAACATATCGTGTTGCAATCTGTCAAGGTTTAGGATCAGGGCTGTCGCTCTGACCTGTAGCAGATGCTCTCTATTAACCCCTCTCCTCTTCCAAAGGAGAAGAGAAAGGGAATAAGGGAGAGAGAATTAAGGATGTAAGGAAATGCAAGGAAAAACAAAATATTTTTAACATGCTTCTTTTCCCCACAAAATAGTGTCAAAAGGAAGCAAAACCCCATTCCTGATTTGGATGTCTACCAATGAACTCACTGCTAAGCAATCCTGTTGTTGGTCTACAGAGGAACTCATTCCAAAATGTTTTTCCACATTTGGAGGCTTGAGGTTTGTACTGGAAATCCTTACTACCTTTTGCAAAGAAAATAAAATCTTTGGGGGGGAAATTTGGATGTGATACTACCATGTTTTCTCCTATAAACTTATATTGTATTTCTGATATCTTACCATATTTTGTGACGATTTCCAAAATAAAAGGAAATTATCTAAAATTTCACAAAGCTAGAACAGGTTTCTCATAAACAGTCAAGACATACTTCCAGCTGAGATAGTGAAGCTAAGGAGCTAATGTGGAGAAGGAAGAGGGATTTATGCATCTAAGTAACCTAACTGAAGGACATTTAAATTTAAGTATGATGAAAGAGACACCTCTAAGGGGGCGATTCAGATCATCTAAGAAAGACGTACTAGATTTAGGCCAACTACACAGACTTTCATAAGGAAAAGAATATAATGAATTTTTATAAATGAGGTGGCAAACACATATTCCTAAAAGGCACAGGTGCCCAAGTGCCTTTCTGTGAGTCTGCCTCACTGTTTCCTTTTGTCATACAGGGAAGTATTTTGGCTTTCTGTAATGGATAATTCCCTCAATAAAAATCTGTCCAGCTCATAACTTTACTTAAAACTTTCTTTTAAGAATCTAGTGTTCTCTCAGGAAGAGAACAAATGATAGAATGCATTTCCATGCCACTTAAATCACACATTTATCTTTTTTAGTCACCCTCTTGTGAAAATATATTTGAATATATGCAATAAATGTAGTAACTTGCCCGTTCTTGGTAACGCTTTTCAAACTAAGCCATGTCATCAGCTTCTGAATGCTTTCCATGAGAAACTTGCCTTGTGGCACTAGAACCACCTGAAAAAAAAAAAAAAAAACAAAAGCTCTTTTCATTAATGATACTTGCTATTCCATCAATTATGTTTTACATTTGGAAAAATGCGTTTAAAATGAGAACTCACTGTTACAGGCAAGTAACAAACCCCAGTAACTGGGACCAAAGGTTAACCTCTTTAGTCTAGACTAGCAGCTATTGGTCTTGGAGGTGTTCAACAGTTATATTAATTGCTAAATTCTTATACTAAATAAGGGACATAAACTAAGCTTAACCAGTCCATAATTCCATGCAGAAAATACTTTCTGGCAGAAGGCAATTTCACAGGATTGTGCTGAATATGTATAATCCATTCAGATATAATGAACTTCTAGTAGGAATTAAAATTTTTAAAAACTGATCCAATGATTTAAATGACACCATTAATGGGGACGACACCAAATGCTAGAAAAAAAATTACTACAGTTAAAAAGCATATAATGAGCAAAAACAACAAGCAGTTAACATTTATTCTAATAGTAACAATAATAGCATTTATTCTAAGCACTTTAGGTACATGATTCTTGTACTAACTTTTTGCATAACAGGGCTTTAATACTAATTTTTATTTTTTAACTTTGATTTTAGTCCTAAGGTTCCTTCAACTCATAAATAAACCAAATTAATTTTATATTAAATACTTTTTGTAAAACAGTATTATGCTACTAAAATAGCACCTGGTATCTGTGAGATGGTTTGAGCAGAACTAGAAGGTCCCTGAAATGCTTCTAGAAATGGATGACCCATGCTGGTGATGGGGGATTCTAAAAGTTCAGCAGAAGGAGCCCCTGTTAGAAAATATGTTGAGTGAAAACAAAAATTAACTTCATGAGATATATTAACAACATACATCACAGGGTCAAAAAAAGGCTACAGATTTGTATCTACAACACTCAGTGCAGACACCCTAAAACAGAGTTAACAAAAGCATTACAGAGGATGGCTTCCAAAGAAATTAAATCTTTTATTTATTACTATGGCTATGCTATAGTTTCCAAACTTCAGATAAATCCACAAAACCAGATCAGAACTTAAAAAACAAAATAATGAGTACATGGCAATAATAAGTAAAATAGTATTTCAGAACAAAATGTGTTCATTACTAAATAGCACAAAATCACAGAGTGGCAGAGGTATCAAAGCCAACTAACATGCCTGCCAAAAATAAAGTTCTACAAATGACCTCTTTTTTTATACTGAACAGCTATTAACCTTTGAGTTTGGAAAAAAAATGCTGTAACTGTATAGCCAAGAAATACCCAGGCAGTATTAGGCTAAAGTATTAACATAAATACAACATGGAAGTATTAAGAGAAAAATAAAAGTTACAGATTTCTTTCTAAAAGATATGCTCTACTTCAGCCTGAAGCTACGGGGCTGAACATCCAAAGTGTGGATAAAGGGGGGGTTTCTTAGTCAATTCACTACAGGAAGTTGGACAAGATGGTCATAGTGGTCTCTTCACACCTAAGGACTGCTGGGGAGAAAAAAATAAAAGCTGTCTTAAGTCCTACTCCTATTGATCCAGTTTGCCTTTGAACATTAAAAATCTATGTTGAATTACTACTTTTCACAACTACTGAGTTGGAGAATTAACATTTCCTCTCAGGTCAGCTGCACTTACCTATTCCACTGTCATCAAGTCTCATGTAGCCTTCTGCTAGTGAACTAAAGCCAGTCAGTCCTCCAATTGCAGCGTAAGGGACGTCCTGCCCCACAGGCCTTCCCTGGGCTAAGTGCTCCTCTTTAGTTTCCACCACTGTTTCATGAGCATATGTTGGCTGACCACACCCACAGGTAAAGGAACTATGAAAGCCCAAACATTTGGAACCTAATTAACAAATAAATAAGTGTAATGAGTGAGATAATGGAATTTGTACTTCACTGCAGACAAAATGGTGTTTCCCTAAACTGATCCTATAAGAAACTAGAGTTCTGTCACTGCAAAGGCATCCGGCTATACTGAAAATGCTGTTTGAAAACAGCAGAAAGGGTGAATGTGAACATTAAATCACAGGGGTGGTCCAGTCTCAGGTTCTCATTCAGTCAAGTTCTGAGTGCCTCCAAGGATGGAGATTCCACCTCTCTGAGCAGCCTGGACCAACGCTGGTCTTCTCATGGAGCAGACATTTACTGCCTACTATCTAATCGAATTTCCTATGTGCAACTTGTGTCCGTTGCCCTTAGTAACACCTTTCTGTACACCTCTCATGACAAAAAAGAGAGAAAATTCTGTCACTAGGTAAAGACGACAACCTGCCAGCATTTTGACAGGATTATCTCCAGCAGTACACAGCACATGTCAGTGTTGTATGGCCAGAAAATTTAAAATCACAATGTAGATGTCTTTAACAATTAGCAAAATTATCTCGGTAGTAAACAGAGGCTCTGGCAACAGCAAAATGGTTTCTATGCAAAATTACCATTAGACTGACTTTCAGGGGGTTTTTAAGCTTACATAGCCACAGGATGTAACCAAAGTAGTTATACAAATGACATGTGAGGTTCAGAAACAGGGAGTGAAGTGATACACCTGCCCTGGCTGCAGCTACAACTGTCACCAAAGCCCTGCTGAAGCAATGATGTGAACAAGAAATTGAACCGATTTTGCAAATGTTTCCTTACACAGATTACCCTGCTTCCAACTCCAGTACACTTCACTTGGCAGAGCACCAAAAAAAACTTTAATTCTTACGTAGTATGTCCAAGGATCACACTTTTAGAAATGTTAATGGCTTTTTCATACCATCTTGGGCACTCCTTAGTGACAGAGCACTTAGTCTGTGTTTGGATACAGAACACAGGATATGTAATACATAAAGCACAACAACAGTATTTTTTCAATTAAAATTTATCTGTCATATTAGATTTATTCAAAACTGGGCTAGACTAATACCAGTACATTAAAACAATACAAGCCCAAATTAGAAGCAAGTCTTGGCACTTCTCTGTGTAATCAGTGAAGCCCTCAGAAACATCAGACATTTCTGAGAAACCAGAAAAAGCGCATAATGTAAATGATTACTAAAACAACGTGTTCTAAGGATTCAGTTTGAATCATCCAATTGCACATTTAAGACTTCCGCAGTACTTAGAACAAATTCTTGAAAGGCTGTCATATAAATATTTTATGGTTTGTTCTGTGGGATATGATTCCCATCCAGCAAAAGCTGTTTATGATTTTTCCTGTACAAATTAGACAGATTTTAAGAAAGAATTTTACTAACAGTACCGAACTCTAGCAAAAAAAAATCTTCAGCTTACGTAATTTGAGGATTCAAACAAAAATACCTTTATGCATTATTTATTTTCTATGATGAATAATTACTGCGCTTTCATTACCATAACCTCGAACAACAAAAGCAAAAAGCTTTGTCTTAATGCCTTCTCAAATCTTTTGCTTGAAACTCCATTCTCATTTGCATTTCTGGCCCCACAACCTATATGCTTGGGAACTGCTTAGTTAGTGTGCTAACAATAGTGTTCGTTGGGAACAGAGCGCTGCTTCCTATTGAGTTGCAAAAAGATATAAAAACACATTAACATTATATTCAACCAGGCCAGAGAGGAATGGAGATCGACACATCTCCCTCTCAAACTGCCAAGTTCAAGGAGAACTTGAAGTAGTTCTGTGTGGCAGTGGAAGTGACAAATTGCAAACATGGTGCTTTCTTACTACCTAACTTCAAGCATCTGTCTCCATATGTACCCAACTGAATCATTCAGGAACTTACACTCCTTCACAGGACTTGGGGAAAGTAAAGATGATGTTCTAAACCCTCCTGTGCAAAAGGTATCGTCTTCCTTCCCACTCAAAGACCAAAATACGAAGCAGTGACAAGAGCAGCACATACCTATTACTCTGGGCAGAATACAGATCCCTAACATGCCAATCCTCTTAAGCTTTCCAGCAAAGAGTGCTGGAAGTCCATCAATAACTTACAAGAATTACAGGAAAATCCAGGTGCTGCGCTGTGCTGGTCAGCAAAGTGTTTGCAGCTACAGCGGATGGGCTGCGTGCTGTTCAGAGGGACATAGTGGTAGGACTGGCACGGACACCGGCTCACGCGGCAGGGCACACAAATGGGCCAGTCCTGGGGAACCACTTCATAGCCCGTTTTGTGTTGCTTGTACCTAAAACAGACAAAACCGGTAACTTTTCTAACTTAGTTATCAGAAACATAACTGAAAGGCTTATCATTTATCTTACAAGTTCTGTTTTGAAATATCTTTAATTATATTAATTATTGTCATTAATTTTCAATTAAATGTGTAACATCAGTTCTCTCACACCCATTCACTACAAAAATAACATGGATCCTTATGTTTTATTTTGACAGCAGTGTAAGAATCAATCTGATTGATCTGAAGTAACCTGAGCCTTAAAAACAAAATTTATTGCAGACTACAAAATCACTTTAGTCTGAAAAAAACATTGAGATTTAGATTTAAGAACAGTTCTTGTTCTTTAAAACCTAGTTTTCCCAACCCTTAGACCTTAAATAAACATGCCTATACTGTACTGTAATGTTTCTGGAAACATTTTACATTTTCCCGATTTTAAAAAAACACAACAATTCAAAAAGATGGGCAGATTCCTACCAGTGAGTACAGAAACACAGTGTCTCTGGTCCCACAAGTTTACAGTCCATGCCCGTTGGTGATCACCAGCTCACATACAACCTGTTCTGTAACCGAATTGGTAACACTTTTCTTTTGTACTTTTCATATTCCTCAGGGGTAAAGAGCTTTCCTCCATCATCATCACCTACAATTCTATAAGCATGTTATTAAAAAAAAAAAAAAAATAAGAAAATGAAGACAATAAAAGTAGGTTTCTCAAAACATTTTTTTCAATCAAGATATAACAACACTTTTCCTGTAAATGCAAAAAATAAAATCTTTCATAGCAGTGTTCTAGTGATAGATATTTAACAGAAGTATAGCTGAATTTTAGAGAATTTTGTGAATAAAACCTTTTAAAAAATTTGCTCTCACAGGCTGAAAAACAGAGCTGTAAGAGAGATGGAAAAAATAAAGCAGACTACCAGGGTCCTCTTCACACAGCAGAGAAAGCAACAGGCATCACAGGTTGTTTAAGCAGCCAACCCTGCCTCAAACTTCTTGAACGCTCTGGCAGGTCACTGCACTCATCTGCTCCTAACTGTCCTACAGACTTCTGTCACGTTATCTAAACTTGGTCTACTTTGAGTAACATTATTCAACTGCAAGTAGGAAACCATGCTGCCATCAAAGTAACAAGAGATTTAAGCTTTGAAGGAAGACTGTACTAATTTATGTAAATAAAAGTTGCTAGCAGCTGTATTCCACACCTCGGACAGGCCCATTTGTTTAAGCTATCACTGCGTTCAAGTTCAAAGTCACTGAATAGCTTGAACTACAGAGCAGCATCCAAATTCTACACTATGGAGACAACTGAAGACGGTAAAATCTGCAAATGCAGTTTAGACTTCCTTGCACCGCTTAAATTATGCTGAATGTTCGTTTATTAATGTCTGTAAAGATTTCAGTTATTGTTTGTTGGGTGTGCTAAAATATACTCAGTGATTAATTGTCAAATATTCTGTAGATCTGTACATTATGCATACTTCACAACACCAGAACGTGTCAACAGATCACTGTCTGTTCGATGTCAATCCAGTTGACAGGCATCCTGTGCATAACCAGTTACATAAGGAACAAGCACTGTGTCTACTACCTCTATGTTTTCCTCCAGGTTTTCCTAAGCTAAATGAAGACCAGATTTCAGTATAACGGCTGAGCTCACGTTTATTTTTGCTCGGCTTTTCAGGAGGAGCAACAAAGACACGTAGGAAGGTGAGGAGACATGTTTACACCCCGCAGAACCGCATTCACCAGGAGCAC